GTGGCTGTGTGTAACAAGTGTGGGCGTTGAGAGAGGGGTGAGACTGCAACAGAATACACACACAGCCAGAGAAAAGCAATTAAAAAAAAATTAAAGTCAATATTGTCATCCCCCTAAATCATTGACATGGCCTCCATGGGTGTTAATGCAACCCAGTGCACAACATGCTCAATGTATGCGTTCCTTGAGCAACTGTTCGAGGGCGAATGCTGTTGTGTGAGATGTGAAGGAGTGATTTGTTTAAAAACCCAGATTCTGGATCTAAAGAACAGTCTGGGGACACTGAGGAACATTAACAACATGGAGAAGAGTTTGGACCTTACCAAAAAGATGCTGGCAGGGGCAAGCATAGAGGAGGGTGGTAGCATAGAGGAGGGTGGTAGCATAGAGGAGGGTGATAGCATGGAGGAGCAGGACCAGGAAGTGGGTAGCTGGATAACAGTCAGAGGGCGGGGATATGGGAAAAGCATCAGAGGCTAGACCTGAGCAGTTACACCCTAATATGCCTATTTGCAAGATGTTGGGGATATTAACTCAGGGGTAGCATTACTGGAGCAGATTATCTCTTCTAACTGCCAGGGGAGTGACTGTTCCAGTATAGTGGGGAACAGAGGCTCAAGCAAGAATAGACAGATCCTGGTGGTAGGGGATTCTATAATTAGGAGGACAGAGAGGGTAATCTGGATCGAATGGACAGATTATTGGGTAGGGCTGGAGAAGACCCAGCTGTCATGGTACAAGTTGGTACCAATGACAAAGTCAGGGGAAGATGGCGTGACCTAAAGATTTCAGGGACTTAGGTGAGATACTAAAGAAAAGGACCTCCAAGGTGGTATTCTCTGAAATACTTCCTGTACCACGAGCCACACCAACGAGGCAGAGGGAGCTAAGAGATCTGAGGAAGTGGCTGAGAAACAGGTGTAGAAAGGAGGGGTTTGGGTTCATGGAGAACTGGGCTGACTTTTCAGGTCGACTACAAGCTCTACAGTAGGGGAAAAAATGCTAAATAGGTTAGAGGAGCTTTTAAACAAGATTATGGGGGTTAGGGATTATAACAGGAAATGTGGAGATCCCAACAGAGAACAGGGACCCTATGATATCAAAATTGAAAGCATGTTCACAAATGCTAGAGGTTTGGCGAACAAAATGGAGGAATTGGAACTTTTTCTACTCATAGAGGAGTATGATTTTGTGGGAATTTCAGAAACCTGGTTGGATGGCTCACATGACTGGGTGGCAAATATCAGGGGATGCTCAGTATTTTGAAAAAAATAAGGAAGGAAGAAGACGGGGAGGAGTATGCCAGGAATGATCTGGTAGTGAATGTATGTGCCGACAAAGCTTCTGAGATTGGGGACAATGCTGAATCTTTATGGTTGGAGACAGTGGCGTAACTAGAAATCACAGGGCCACATAGCAAAATTTTGTATGTGGCCCCGTGATTGCTAGTAATGCCACTTGCAGAGCCCACCTGATATACCAAACAGCCCACCTGAGAGTGACCCTGCAGAGCCCACCATAGACTCTCTATAGTGGGCTCTGCAGGGTCTTAGATGGGCTGCACACCTCTTACCTGGCAGCGCTGTCCGCCTCTGTGGTCACCGGGCCCCGCCTCCTCTTCCGTCCCCGGGCCCCGCCTGCTCTTAGGTCACTGGTCAGTGATGTTAGAGGAGGCGGGGTTGCTCTTAGGTGGGCCCTACCTCCTCCTTCACTTGGAACGCCAGCCTCTTCTGCCGCAGCTGCTGGCTGTCACTGACACATCTCCGCAGCGGCTGTGAGGGGAAATCAGTGATCTTCACAGCCGATGCTGAGCTGCGACAGCAAGCACCCTTACATGCCATAGCGACCCACATGGCATCAGAGGGATGCCCTGGCCGGGCCCACCTGTGCCCGGGCCACATATCGGCCGTCTGGGTCGCTATGGTGATTGTTACACCACTGGTTGGAGATGAAAATGAATAAAAAAAATTTTTAATTATTGGGAATATGGTACAGGTCACCAAATATAGGGGAGGGGGAGGAAAATAAACTATTGACACAGAAAGATAAAGCAGGAAGGGAAGGCAATGTCATAATTATGGGGGACTTCAACTATTCTGATATTGATTGGGCACATGAAACCGCACACTCAAGTAAGGCCTGTCACTTCTTGAACACATTGTGTGATAATTTTATTGGACAAATGGTTGAAACCTCAACTAGAGAAAATGCTGTTGGATTTATTAATTAAAAACACAGAGCTGATTACAGATGTGGAAGTTGTGGATAACATGGAAAATAGTGATCATAGGATAACGTTCACAGTAAACTACAGGAAACAGACAAGATGGTACGACAAGAACACTAAATCTTAAAAAGGGCTAACTTTAATAAATTGAGACACCTACTGTGTGACACAAATTGGGACCAAATCTTCCTGAATATAAACATAGAGGACAAGTGGGAAATTTTCAAGGCAATAGTACATAGCAAATTTGGCCAGTGCATGCCATTTACCAACAAATTCAAGACAGTGAAAGCTAAACCAGGGTGGTTAATTAGTAGGGATGCACCAATACCAGAACTCACCCAAATGCTCCCGATACTTATCCCGGTACCGGAAATTCTGGTATAAGGAAGCCGGGCGGCAAGCCATTACCTGTCCCCATTGAATAAACAGCTGCTGAGAGGGGGGGTTTACAAAAATGTATGTCTGTGTGTAACAAGTGTGGGCTGTGAGAGAGGGGTGAGACTGCAACAGAATACACACACAGCCAGAGAAAAGCAATTAAAAAAAAATTAAAGTCAATATTGTCATCCCCCTAAATCATTGACATGGCCTCCATGGGTGTTAATGCAACCCAGTGCACAACATGCTCAATGTATGCGTTCCTTGAGCAACTGTTCGAGGGCGAATGCTGTTGTGTGAGATGTGAAGGAGTGATTTGTTTAAAAACCCAGATTCTGGATCTAAAGAACAGTCTGGGGACACTGAGGAA